ATATATATATATATATATATATATATATATATATATATATATATATATATACATGTGTGTGTGTGTGTGTATAGGGTTTCATACTCTGTATCTGGTGCATGCCCGTACCGGCGTGTGGTTCGTTTGCCTTTGCGGCTGCGTATACAGCGGGGCCTGCATCTGCGTCAGCAGGGTTTACACTTCTTTCCTTTATCTCGCCTAAACCCTCACGAGGCCCTCAAAACCCTTTGTTCTTCTCCCTTTTGTACCGAGGGTTTAGCAGCACAACTCGGCATGGGGGGCCCCTCTCTATGGGGGCCCCTAGGGGGGCCCCCTGGGGGCCCCTGGGGGCCCCATGAGGAAGATGAAGGGCAACACAGAGACACTATAGGGGAATCTGATAGCGAGCTCCAGCACCATGCAGATGGGGGCCCCCTGGGGGCCCCCCTCACACCTTCTTTAGCAGCAGCAGCAGCAGCAGCAGCAGCAGCAGGAGCAGGAGGATATAGACCACATGAAGGTGGGGGGCCCCCATGGGCCCCCTATTACTCTCGTGGTGAGGGTCGTGGCTACATAAGGGGTTCTATAGATAGCGGAATGGGTCCCCCAGGGGCCCCAGGGGCCCCAGGGGCCCCAGGGGCCCCAGGGGCCCCTGGGGCCCCCAGCATGCATGCAGGGGCCCCCGTGTGTGGGGGCCCCCTAATGCATATATTCGATAACAAGAAATGCCTCATCTGCCTAGACATAGCTAACACCGCCCCCGTAGAGTTCGAGTGCTGGGCCCTGGGGGACGAGCGGGGGGGGGCCCCCCAGAGGGTAACAGTGGGGCCCCATGATGGACAGGCGAGGTGAGCTCGGGTGTATAGGCAGCTCTGTATATATATATTTATGTTTATATTTATTTGTTTTTTTTTTTATTTGTATGGAGAGTTGAATTGTAATGTATTTTGTGCGCATTTGTTTGTTTGTTTGTTTGTTTGTTTGTTTCCTTTTGTTTGTTTGTGTGTATTTGTCTGTCTGTCTCTTTGTTTGTTTTTTTTTGTTTTTGTTTGTTTTTTTTCTGTTTTTTTTGTCTCTGTTTGTTTGTTTGTTTTGTTTATGTTTGTTCGTTTCTCCTCTCTCTCATGTATGATTTTATTATTTAATTTGTATTGATTAGTATATAATATATAATAATAAAAATATTATATCCTTATATATATATATATATATATATATATATATATATATATATATATATTTTATA